CAAATCAGTCATAGAGTATTAAGAGTAAAAGTACCCAAGATTTTCAAGGTACCCAAATTATGCAAAACAATTTAAAATCAAATTGTATATACAAATTAATTCTACTTGTACACTTTTCAAACTTACACAGCATTTGCAAGCATAATAAGTTTTGTAGTATCATTGAACATTACTCCAACTCCTTCATCGCAAAGCTGATAACCAAATCCATATTTGTCACTGTAATCTACCCACTTAGAAACCCAGACCAACGGTTGTGATGCAGGATCAGACATTTCATCTCCAAAGTTACCATGCACGCGGCCAGGCTAAAATTAATTTTAATCATTGATACCAAAGAATAATATTTTGTTGAATAATTAGAAGGTAAACAGAATTGTTATTATAATAGTATAAAAGATATATATCAAATTATTCATAGTTAACATATTAAAACTGACCTTTTTTTAGCAGTTGAATCAATTGGTCTCTAAGGTTTACAATATTTTGTTTATATTCTTCAACTCCTCTTATTGGATTTAAACGGCAACCAGCTGCAATTGTTTCCATTGCATATTTTTGGGACTATCAACCATCATAATAGAATCGTTACCTGGAAAAATATTATTAGCCTTACACATTCACAATAAATTAGTTATGTTCTATTAGAAAATTATTGAAAATAATTTATATGGATTAATATTGTTTGCCACACCCTACAAATATAGCCCAGTTTTGATTTAAAATTGAAAAAAAAAGTAGCTGGTATGATCAGTAAGAAATTTAAAAACATTACATTATTACCTCTATTAATTTCATGAAGAGGCTTGCGATCTGTATTAGAGTATTCAACTTGGTCAAACCTAGGTGCCATTGTTAAACAAGAAGATGGCAACTGCTTAGGCATGTAACCAGCGTTGAAAAACTCATGCTTAAGAAGTTGATCTACAGATGGTCTAGATTGGGGATCGGACTGTAACATTTCAATGATCATGCTTGCAGATTGTTTATGAAGTGTCGTAGGTAATCTAGGAAACACAAAAAAAAATAACATATTGTATAAATATATCCATTTATATTAATAATATATTCTTAAGAAAAATTAAAATAACCTATATTTACTATAATCACATTTCTTTATTCTGGTATAAGTTTCCTTTAAAGTTGAAGTTTCAAATGGAGGTTTACCAATAATAATGTGTACATAATACAACCTGTTGACCAATATCAACTTCAAATGAATGGCCCTTTTTATTTAAAATTTCTGGAGCTATATAGTTTGGCGTTCCGCATAAGGTTTTCTTCCTTCACCTATAATTATTACACACAAAATTAAATGATTGAGATATATTAA